AGAGGGAAAGGGAGGGAGGAGGGCAGGGAGGGGGCTAACATACACCCTGTCTTGTGTGTGGCTTCACTCTGGCCCAGCGGACCCACTCTGAAACCCCGTCCAAGTATCATGCACGCAGAGGGAGCTGAAAAGTCACATCCATGTTCGTGAGAACTGGGACCCCGTTGAGGGTCTCAGGCTCACCCACATGATTTCCACATAATGAAGGCAATGCCATTACTGTCAAGGGGTTGGCTGGGGCAGTTCCGGGGCCTCAACTTAATGTATTGAAAGATGAAGAGATCCATCAAGTAAGGCTTATTCAGCATCTGTCTTGGAGCACAATGCCATTGAGCCTCTGAGAATATCAGACGATGCTTTCTATGACTCCAGATAATCAGTTGTCCAGATTATGTGTGTGTGTGTGTTGGGGGGGGGTTGGTTGAAGCCACTTGACCCCCCACACAGAGACTAAGTAAACTGACATGAACACAAGAATTTCTTCACCCTGCTGTAAAAGTTAATGAACACCCCTTAGTGACTCATTTCCGTGCCACCTGTTGGGTTTGCTCCAGGATCAGGGATGTTACGGGGCTTGCTGGCATGCTCGGGGTCAACATCTCTGTCAAACACGAAAGGACGAAGTCCAAGACTGTACAGTTGTCACCCAGTGGGAACACAAAGGATCTCGTAGGTTTTCAAAAATAATGAGGAGTGTGTGCCATTTGCTTATAATCTAGAATTGGAGAGAATCCAAGACTTGTCTTCTCAATTTGCTGTCACTTCAGATTTTACCCAAACCCTCTGCCTAACGTCATTTTTCACGTCCTCCTAAAACACCTTTCTTTGGTCTTCCTGACACGCGCCTCTCCATCTTGTATTCCCCACCCCACTGCTCCTGCCTGGCTGAGGTTGCTTTGTGTGTCAACCTAATAGTATTAAAATGGGTAGCTATTAGACAATAACTAAGCCATTAAAAACATGTCCAAAGGTACCACAAATAAAGCAGAAATGCTGATTCAACTTAAAATGGTACCGAAAGAGTTGACGTCACACCCAAGCTGGCGGTGAGTTAACCTTGACTCAAGTGAAGACATAATGAGAAACTCCACTGTTGGTCAGAATTCATCGATCACTGAAGAGACAGCAAATGGGTCTGCCACCCAAGCATCAGCCAGGGAGGTCAGAGCCAGGAAGCACGCAGAAGCTCTGACAGATTTCCTACATCTGTCTAATGAAGTGTGATGGGGAGACCTTCTCCTTGGAGAATTAAGTCAGACTCAAATCCAGTTGCTACAGTTTTGGCCCTAACTCTTCATAATTCCTTCAATTTTTCAGGACTTACTTTTGCAACGTTTCTTTCTGTCTTTAAACTTGCCCACAAATAGGACTGATTTCTCTTTAATTTCACATCCACATTTTTTTTTTTACAAAAACCTGTCTGTCCTGTCCAATATAATAGCCACTAAAAACAGTTGAATTTAAAGTTAAGTGGCAAAAATTAAAAATCAGTGTTCATGTCAACATTCTCACTGGCCATATTTCAAGAGCTTGACGGCCACGTGCGATAGGTGACCATGCATTGGTAGCAGAGGCAAAGGCACGTCTGTTGTCACAGAGAAGCCCACGGGCCAGTGGGACGAGCGGGTCATGCACCGATGAGCCCTTACGAACACACATGTACACAGGTGAAGGGACATTTTGATTCCCATCAGAAAATTCACTTTGCTCTATTTTGACTTTTGAGTGTAGTTGTAATCACCCTTTCCTGCCGGGAATGGACCATCCTTGAATAAAGCTGTGTGTTTCCACTGCCAGCCTCCTTGGGGAGGTCAAAATCACCACCTAGATCAAAGTCAGACTATAAGTGGACTGACAGTGTGGACTCTTCCTACAGAGGAAATAGCGCATTCTATCTGGGGGGACTGGGGTGCAGAGCCGTGAGCATGGCTTCTGACTGGCCTCATGTCCACAGCTGTGTGATGGGCCAGAGGTGTGCTTCTTGGGCCTTCTCGCTCCTACCAGACCTGCAGGAGTAAGTCACATGTGCCGTGGCCGCTGTGAGCCTTAGAATGTGTAGCTTGATTTCTGCCCACCAGCACATGGTCACCCCTTGCTTTCTGCTGTAGAAAAGGAAATCACGGCCCTGTTTCCAAGCAGACTGAATGTCAAGAAGAGGCGACTCAGCAGAGAGTGAGATCTGGGGCCAGACTCCCCCCAGCCAGTCTGAGAACAAAGGCCAGGCTTCCCGAGCTCAACACCCAGATCCTTGGGTGTGGAGGGCAGCACCTGTCCCCCACTCCCAGGGTTCTCTCTGGACCTCACTCGATGCGTTGGGTGAAAACATGTCCCTGTGAAATATCATATCAACGTCAGTTATTTTGATATAATTGCCCTGTGTGCAGACAAGCTGCCTATTCTGGAGGCAATCCCAGCAGACAGGAAGCGGATGTGTGCCCAGGGATGGATTCGGCACTTCGGAGGGGGTGGCTGAGCATGCCCCTCACAAGGCAGCAGCCGACACCCAGCCCAGGGGCCCATCCGTGCTGCACGACAGAAGCACGCGTTTCTGCAGCACTCCAGTGAAGCATCTCAAAGGAAGGAAGAGAATCAACACTACAAAGAGGCAAACAGAGGGGGAAAAAAAGAAGAAAGGTTAAGAGGGGAAGGAAAATGGGTTTACAACAGATCACAGGATATTGTCTGTTTTGACAACATGGGATGTGGAGAAAAGATTCTGTTTGCAGATCGGGAGAGGTTCTTGCCGTTGAAACTCAGATACGCTCTCTGGTTATCTCTCATGAGCTCCCTTTGACTGCAGATAAGACTTTTATGGATGAATTCCTATTTGTAGAGAACGCTATTGCTCTATGATTAAAACAAATGGTCATATAATTTCGGAGGCAAGACGATATAAGAGCTCTGGACACTGGCCTGGGCCTTTGAGGACGCTGAGGAAAGCAGCGTTCCCCGGAGCCGGACCGCCAGCCAGGTAATGCTCCCCATGTGGAAGGCAAGCACTTCCTTGGGGTGCCCGCTGCCTCGGCCAGCTGTTACCTGGGTGGGAACTGACACGTTATGGTGCTGGTGACTTAGGCATGTTTTGTTGCTGATGTGTTTGATTTGAATTGCTTGTTTCAAAGAGCGTTAGCTGTGGTGTTCAGGAGCGTTGGGTCAGGTCACAGCTCTGCAATCTAGCAGTTGAGAAAGTCACTTCAGCTTAATGACCTTTAGCATCTGCAGGTGAAGCAAGCTGAGAACCCCGTGCAGCCTAGTGATGCAGGCTGGCTTAGGTGACAGGTGGACGGCCAGCGAAGGTCAGTTCATTCAGATTCATTAATATGGCCTCCCTGGTCCCTGGTGGTGCAGGGGTTGAGTCTCAGCGCTATCACCGCTGCGGCCCGAGTTTGATCCCCGGCCAGGGAGTAACCCACAGGGTGCAGCATACTCTCCTGTCTCCTGGATCCACCTGTTCTGCACCCCCCCCCTGTCTCTGGTGAGTCTTCTCACCCCCTATCCCACCTCTGGCCTACACCCCAGTTCTTCCATGCAAAAAAAAAAAATTTCATTTATAGATTTTTCAAGAGGATACTATGCCTCCCTTCCCTCAGACAGAGAAGTTCTTGCTGTTAGTGTTTTAAAGGAGTTTCAGGAAATCGAAAGTAGGTCCATTAATTTTGGAAGGGAATTTGCCAGAGAAGCATAGCATTGGTGCGGAGACTTAAGGGAGGTGATCAGTTGTCCAGATTACGTGGGGTGGGGCCCGCCCTTCACCCAACAGCCCTTTTTAGCACTATCCATGTTCACACAGACCCTCGTAGGGACCCAATCTTCAGACTTTCCGGGAAATTTTCCATTTCAAATAGCATGTTCCATTGTTAATATCGATGTAATATGTTGAGCATTAGAAACTGTGTTCTGATTTTTGGATCATAAAGTGTGCTCTGATGAGAATTCATTAAATTACTCAATTTGATAATTATTTAGAAAAATTCTTGAGCCCAACCCTCATGCATACGCTATCCGCTGACTGAAAATAATAATGTTAGAAATTATCTCTGAAAGTATAGTCTGAGATGCCTAAAAAAATAGAAGAAAATATGGGTCGATATTTTCATCTTAGGAGATAGCCACTTTTCTCATCTTCTGAACAAATTCCAGAAATTATAAGGGAGGAAATAAATATGACCATTTCAGAATGTGCCAGTAAACAAAAGGAGATGGCAACTGGGAAATATTCTGAATCATGTACGGAAGATGGCAAATAAGAAAAGCCACGCAAATCCCCAAGACAAAATGATAACCAGATTGACACAGGTGCAAAATCGGAAACCAAAGCTCAAGAAATTCAAAGAGCTAATCATCATCGAGAGATGTTCCGTCTCTGCAGTGCTAGCAAAATAAAGCTTTTCTTTAATATATCAAAAGTAGCAGGTGCACTAGTTGAGGACAGAGGCTGAGGTGGGAAGATTCTGGCTACAGCCCGCGACAGGAGCAGTTGGCTTCATGCCGCAGCCCTCAGGTTGCCGGCTCTGTGACTGTGGCCGTCTAACCATACATCACTTTATAACTGTCAGGCGAACAGTCCTCCTAGGTAGAAAGGTCAACACCCCCTCACCTGGGCGGGAGCTTGCCTTGGCTGCCCCCTGCTGGCGGGTCTGCGGAGCAGCAGGGCAGGTCTCCAGCCCACTTCATTGCCACCTGAGAATAGCTCAGTTTAGCCAGTGGGGCTCTCTGGAAGGAGCCCACCAGCCTTGCAGGTGAGAAAAAAGCCTCCTAAGTTAACATGTGCCGCACCCTGCATTATCTTGAGATTGCCTTTCATGCTTAATCTGGGTTGAACTACAAAATTTTCTTTTCTCCGTGGCGATTGAGCATCTAAATTCCAGAGCCCTCCTCACCACGGCAAATGTGTTCAGATTGTAGATCTCCGTGAAGCCAAAAGCTGCTAAGAAAAGCAAACCAGGACTCTGAAATTCTTGCAGTAGAAGCTTGTGGAGCAGCTGTTGGCAGGGAAGGAGATGGCTTCCAGAAGCAAGTGGCTGCTTCTGCTGCTCAGCTGCACAGCCAGCGCCCACGTCCTGGGAGGTGAGTGCCTGTTGGGGGCGGGGATCAGCCCCCAGCCAACTCCCCATCACACCGACGCGCCACACCCCACAACACTTGGCGCCACACAACATAGATGTTGACAGCAGGACGAGACCAGCTGAAGCAGTCAGAAGCGCAAGGACTTTAGGAGCCAAGGCCATGCTGGCTTAGTGCAGGGCCTCGGTTAGGCATCAGCAGAGTAGATGATGATGATGGGCCTGCGGGTCCCCTGGGGCAGAGATAGCAACGTAGAGCACCTGGAAGTCAGCACGTGGCGGTGAGCATGAGAGCCAGACATGCGTAGGGCTTATTTTCCTATCTGCAACCATCAGGAGTTGCAGGTTACAAGGGACTTGTGGCTCCTGGAGGGCCGCTACCCTCTAGCACCTGTACAAAGTGATATTTCAGCAAGGTGCAGCCGGTGACCCTCAAGTCTTGCCGGGGAGAAAGCCAGGGAAGGAAACTGCGTGAGGGAAGAGTGAGTATCACAGACGCTAAGGATGGAAGGAAATGGGGTGTAGGCTGTTCTGGCAGGTCGCCTTCGTCCTGTTTACGAGGAAAACGAGGCTCAAAGAAGGGTGACGCTTGCCCAAGGTCACGGGGTGGCCTGGCCCCGTCACAGTCCCGTGAGGCCTTGCTGGGCGATGGGAGGAGGCAAGCGGAGAAACATGCTGAGCAGCATTTATACTAGGCAGAGGGCCCTGGAAGGGGGGGAGGCTCCTCTCAGCACTTCCATAACCCAACACTTTCCCTCTGGGGAGACCCTGGCCAGAGGGGCAGCCCTCTAGAAGGAAAGGCAGGCGGGGCTCTCCGCGTGCGTGGCGCCCACAGTCCTAGCTGCACACCTCCTTGCCTTAGACCTCTGCTGATACATCCTTCTGCTCCAAGGTGCGCTGCCTTCCACCCCAGGCCCCTGGTTTCCTGTCACTGGTGCTCCCTGCGGCACTCAGTGTCTCGGGGACTCAGCCACTTGAGTCATGCAAGAGTGCGGGAGACCCCGGGAGGCTGGCCACGTGGGAGCGGGGTCTTGGACGGGTGACCCCTGCACCTCCCCCTGCTCCCTTGGCTGCACCCGGCCAGCATGGGTAGATAGCGCAGGTAGTTCATAAACCCGCAGGTTCCGCGAAGAGGCCCTGAACCAGCCTGCTGCGGGAAGAGCTGTCTCCTCGCCCCGGCCCTGCTCCACGGTTGCCCTTCTGGCTCCTGGTGCGCGCTCTCCATCCAGCCCTCCTTCGCCTGCCCCCTGTCCCCTCTCCTAAGTGTCCCCCTCCTCTCACCGCCTTTTCTCCAGCTGCAACCAAACTGCCGTCTGACCTGCCCTGTGTCTCCCAGGGCAAGGGGACTGCGCCCTCCTCGCGGGGCCGGACTCCAGCAACATCTGCTCCTCCCGCTCTCGTGATACCTCCTGGCCAGGGGCGGTTGTGCCCAGCGCCAAGTGTGTCTATCACAGCTGTGCCCCTGGACCGGGGGGTGCAGGACGGGCCTGGGCGCAGCAGGACACAGCCCTGAGCTAAATACTGCTGCTGGCGTGACCCCACCCCCCGGCCCCCGCCACGGGACACAGGGGCAGCACCATGGGTCTCCAGGAATGAGGTCAGTCCAGGCCAGTGCCCGGCACCCTCAGAATAGCTGGTGGTTTCCTTTCACCCAGTGTTCCATTGCCTGGTAAGAGGCCAGGGCTCTCTGGAGAAGACAGGGAGAAAGCGGACTAGTGGAAGGTTCTGGCATGAGAGCAGGGCCCTCCCTCAAGGGCACCCAGCCTCGCCCTCCTGCAAGGTACCCAGGTCTGTAAGGGGGCTCCGCTGGGCGACGTGGGGGTGGCTCTGGCCCCCCTAGCTTATCAGCTGGCCTTTGGTCTCACACAGAAATCATCATGAGGCCCAGCTGTGCCACTGGGTGGTTTTACCACAAATCCAACTGCTACGGCTACTTCCGGAAGATGAGGAGCTGGGCTGACGCTGAGGTAAGAAATCCGGCCCGGCTCGGGCTGGCGAAAGCCAAGGGCAGCCAGATCCGCAGGCCTCATGACTCAGGCCAGCGGGCCTTCTTCCTCGACATGCTCAAAGCCACCTGGCCGGCGCAGCGGAGAGGTGCGGGTGCTGCCTAGACTCAGTCTCCCAAGCTCTCACGGAGCAAAATGTCCGTGGCACATGGGAGAAGCTCAGTGCAGGTTCTCAAGACTAAAACCATCCTGCCCAGGGCCTTAGTGGAGTCAAAGTTTTCAGACGCTGCCTGGCGAAGGTGCTGGGGAAGGACCAAGCCCCGGGCTGTGCTCCTGGACCGCTTCTCAGGACGGAGGGCAGCGCTGGCTGTCGGGCCCCTGAAGCGGAGGGGAGAAAGGCCGGGTGGAGCCGACTCCGGCGCTTGGACTTGCAGAAGACGATTCCTGCAGCCTCCGAGCCTGCTTCCATGTCTGTCTCAGGAATCTTCTGTCCACTTACGAAATGTCACCTGGAAATCTGGCTGGAATGCCCCACAAATTTGAAAGTCGAATGCAATTTTAGCTGTAAAAGCGCCGGTATTTTAAAGTGGCTTGCAAGCCCGAGACTCAGTTATAAAATTGCAACCACAGGCCCTCCCTGGGGGCGCAGCGGGTTAAAGCACAGCACAGAGAAACTAAAGCCACTTCCGCATGAGTTCGATCCCTGCCTGCCCCGGAGGTGACCACATGGCGTGGCAGACCTCTCCTGGCCCGCCCGCTGCTCCCCTCAGCAGTGGACTTCGTCGATCTGCCTGTTCTGCTCCCCACTCTGTCTCTGGGGAAGCCTCTCACCGCCCCTGAGCCTCTGGCCTGTACCCCAGTTCTGTATGCACAAATAAATAAATCTTTAAAAAAAAAAATTGCAGCCACAGCTAGCCCCCAGCAAGATACGAAGGAGGGACACAGCAGCCACAGGCAGTGTGTTTTTACGCAAATAATCTCAGCTTTATTCCGGAGGCAGCACCCACAACCCCAGAGAACGAAAAATTACACCTCTGTCATAGGACAGGATTACGCCAAGTGTTTGCCTTGTTCAACTGGACAACCGATTCCTGATCAGAGAACGCGAATCACCTAAACCACAGGTTCCACCCGCACCGTAAAACGAGGGATGATTGTCAGTAACTGGGAAGAGAGATCCAGGTTGCAATCCTCTGGCCAGAATGAAGGTGCAGGGTGGCCGGGGGCAGAATCTGAGCTCAGTAAGGAATGTGAGGTCACTGCAGGAGTAAGAAATAGTTGAGTTTGGAGCTCAAAGGGTGAAAGTTGTAACCGAGCAGATAGTTAACCTATCAATCTAACGTAATAGGAAGGAATTTTAGCGCTTTTACAGCTAAAATTGCATTCGACTTTCAAATTTGTGGGGCATTCCAGCCAGATTTCCAGGTGACATCTCGTAAGTGGACAGAAGATTCCTGAGACAGACATGGAAGCAGGCTCGGAGGCTGCAGGAATCGTATTCTGCAAGTCCAGACCTGACATCTGAGGTGCTGCAGGACCCCCTTGGTGTTAGGGGGTCCCCTGTGGGGTTCAGGTCACAACTTCAGGAGGAGGTGGGGCTGTGTGTCTTCATGCTGCTTGGCACCCCAAGTCCTATGGGTAGGGCTGAGCTTTTAAACCTCAACTCATCTTCAACATAATGGAGCTGGCATGTTCTTCCTTCCGGCCCACAGCTCGAGTGCCAGGCCCATGGAAGTGGGGCCCACCTGGCCTCTGTCCAGAACTTGAAGGAAGCCAGGACCATAGCGCAGTACATCATTGGCTATCAGAACAACAAGTCGGTGTGGATCGGCCTGCACGACCCAGAGAAGGTAACTTCAGACCTAACCACAGACACCCTAGAAGAGCCAGAGAGGCTGCCCTGCTCAAGAAATGGGCTCTAGGCCTACTGGCAGGGGCTGAGAGGCTGGTTTGCTTGTCACGGGCCTCTGCCTGGCAGAGGCCAAGGCCCCAAGTCAGGCCTGGGAGGTCAGGCACAGGTGCCCCAAGGTCAGGCATGAGTGCTGGCCCACACAGCTCCTACGGCATCATTCAAATCAAGGTCCTTCCCAGCATGGGAACACAAGAGCTCCATCTTTTCAGAACATTACGACGAGGTCCAGGTCCATAGGCTGAGGCTTCTCAGTTGACCCTGAGTGACCCCGGGCTCAGGGGGCCACCCCCACATAGCAGAAAATCCCGTATAGCACTTGACTCTCCCAAACCTTCCCGGCAGGCAACAGCCTCCTCACGCCAGAATCCTGACCAGCTGTGGCAGCCTGTTGACACCTCACCGGGTGTTTATTTCCTTCCTGGGTGCCTCTTGCTCAGCCACGACGTGGGCTTGTAATAAAGGAAGCTGGAGAAATCCGGCGTTAAGAAAATCACAGGGAAGGGAAACACGTACAGTCCTGGCTTTATGCGTAGTTGTCTGTGCGACAAGAGGAGGCGGGGGTCAGCTGCGGGGCCTGACCACTTTGTCACGCGCCTCGGCGTGCACGTGGCCCACGCTCCACAGCCCTGCCCTTCGACCTGCCTCCTCTTCTGACATTCTAGTCTGAGAAAATAATTTTCAGTCGAAACAGCTGCCTGAACAAAGGTGTGTGGAGCACTTTAGTTATAATGATTGTGAGCTGTAAACAAACAAAAAGATCAGCAGAATTGCTCGGGTCAAATCCGGTGCCTCCTTTCCGTTTAAAAACTGGCTGGACAAGAAACAAAGCCATGTCTCGGTCAGCGGTCGTCACAGTGGAAGTACATGAAGTACATCATGAAGTATGTGGGCGCCGCGGGTCGACTTGCTAAAATGTTCGCGATGTTTCCCTGTGTGCCGAGTGGAGTGACTTCATTACGTTTCCTTGTGTACCCATTTCTGTTTTTCCAATGTTCACAATGAAAATTGCCTCGTGGAGGTCCCGGGGGGCCCAGGGTGATGAGCATGTGACTTCCTGTCGCCCACAGAAGCAGCAGTGGCGGTGGATCGATGGGACCCCGTTTTCCTTCAACACCTGGGCCAGCAGGGCCCTGGGCGTGAACAGTCACTGTGCTGAAATGAGCTTCAGCAACAGTAAGTGCCAGCCCCGCCCTGGGCGCTACGGGCAAGGCCAGACGCTGCTCCCTCACTCTCCTGTCCACCAGTGACTCTGCTTTTTTTTTTTTTAGATTCATTTATTTATGCACTCAAGAACTGGGGTACAGGCAAGGTGTGGGGGGGCAAGAGGATTCCCCAGAGACAGAGCAGGGAGCAGAACAGGCGGGTCCACTGAAGCCCACTGCTGAGGGAGCAGCGGGGAGACTGGAGGGGTCTGCTGCACCCTGTGGGTCCCTCCCTGGCCGGGATCGAACTCGGGCTGCCGTAGCTTCACAGCGCTGAGCCTTAACCCCTGCGCCAGCAGGGAAGACCCAGCAAGTCTGTTTTCTAAAGCACAATGGCCTTCGCTGGCACAGACAATCCCAGTTGTGCCCGTGTAAACTGTCGCCATATCCGTGGGTTATTTACTGCGTATTTTCTTTAAACCCCATAAGCATGAGACTCGCGTGAACGTAGCAGCCACCCAGTGACGGAACTCTTGAGTTTGTCCTGATTTGCCCAGAGACGGCAGCAGCTGACCGTGTGTGTGTGCGTGTGCGTGTGCGTGTGTGCACATGCGTGTGCTGTCTACAGCGCGGTCCCCAAACTGTCCGGTGTCACGGCGCACAGCACAAAGTCCTCAGAGCTCTAATTCCGAGGGTGGTTACAGCTATCGCTGTTTGCCACATTAGAAAATAAACGGAGACATTACAGCAACAAAAATCAGAGCTGTTGTCAACTTGGACAAGTTGTAAATGATCGCTAACATCGAGGTAAGATCATTTGCAAATGTTTCAGAAACATTTCAGAGTGCACGCTGGGAGAGGAAGAATAGCAGATGATAAGCCACTGCCAAGGAAACCTACGTCCTTTACATCCACTCACTTCTCCCTTAAATACATTTACTGTGAAAGCCTCACATGAGACGTGCATGTGACACGTTTTGGGGACCAAGACACGGGAACACGTGTGGTCGAGTGGACAGACTCCTGTGGAGCTCAGTGTTTGGAGGGTCAGTAGAGGGCCCCTCCCCCAGGCCTCCCAGGGCCGCCTCGCCTGCCCTGTCCTGCCTGGTCAGCCCACGGTCCGTTGGGAAGCGCCACGGCAGGAAGAGCTGTGGCTGTCCGTGGGACGAGGTCGCCTAAGGAATAGCTCGGGCGGCCTGGGGCTGGCGACCGAGCCCCACGGGCAGACCAGCAGCTGTGGGCCCCTGTCCTGAGTCCGCAGGCTGAGCCGACCCCTCTGGGGCTTGTCTCTCCTCACCGCCTCCCCTGGGCGGCCTTCTGGAGAGCATCTGCTTGGTGAATGCCCCCCACATCCAAAACTGACCTTGTCACAACGCCCAGCGAGCTGACTCACCAGACCTCTGGGCACCCCATGCCAGCCGTATGGGCACATAAAAATGACCGGGGCCCATCCCCGGTGGCGCAGCGGGTTAGGACGCAGCACTGCAAGCTGGCCGCAGCCGCTTCAGTGCAAATTCCGTCCCGGGCCCCCGAGCTGACCCACAGGGCACGGCAGACC